GGGGGGGGGGGGGGGGCAATTCCACCCTGCACGGATCAAACGGGTGTCTTAGAGTCTTTATTGTTCCGTGCCTTTGCCGATCATCGCGAGGATCCCGTCACTTACTGTGAGACGTCGAGAGAAAATCTTGCTCTTCCTGCGCCGTTTCCTCCCGAGAGCCGGAGTGCTTGATCGGTCTCTGAGTCTGGGCCGACGGTCCGACGGTCGCACCTGCGCTCGGCGGCAGCCCGTAAAGCCCGTGCATCGCGAAGTGCTTTTCTACGGCCGCGACCGCAGCGGCCGCCACGGATCCTCCCGGTCCGCCGGCTTCGTCTTTGGCCATTACCTTGCTCACTGCAACGGGTCGGGGGTAAAACGGAATGAAAAATGCGTGCAATGGACACGAACGCGTCTACTGTCTTAAAATATGCAGAAGCCCGGAAGAACCGTGTGCGCAAATCTCGTTTGGCGAGTTCATCGTTCAATTTCCGGCCGATCCCCTCTCTTTCTTCGCGAATACTTCCACCCAATGCCTTTTCCACGTGTTGACTATCCCCTCCCCTCCCTTTCATCTCCACCGCCCCCTCTCCCGATAAATTTTCTACGTCTCATCGTTTCTACGTCTTACGTCGTAGTCAAAAGTTTTCACCGTCACGAGAGCACCTGAAATTGAAATTTCGATTCTGTGTTGAAGCAGTTGGCGCGTGAAATTCTATTTTCTTAAGGAATCTTTTCGATTCTTCAAATTTCAACAAACTTTCACTCTTAGAGTGAAACCTCTCTCGACAAATTTAGAGGATAAGATGCTACGATACAACCGTTACACTGGCTACGTAGTATCTTGAGAGGAAATTGAAGCGATCGTAAATATAAAAATCCAGTTATAAATACCGTCCATAATGCGACGAGATATTGTGTAACGTGATTAAATTGAGCCGTGTCAGCGCTGCATAACGTGTGCTTGCTGTTTTATCTCACCGAGAAGAGTCTCATCGGTGACCTCTCGGACACCGTCGATGTTCGGTATTGAATGATTAAGCGTTAGATGGAAAATCCCTCGAGCGAGATCAGCTGGAAATTGAACGGCGCGGGGATTCGTAATTCATTCACACTCACCGTAGGGAGGATGAGGAGAGGGGGAGGGGGTTAATGCGCGAAGGATCGATCGAGAGACGGGGCGGCAGGACGCGGGCGAGAAAACCCGTCCTGACGATCGCAACCGGCGATACCGAGGATTTTCTCTTCTTTCCCTGGCGCGATTCGAGCCCTTATCGAGCGAAATCGCGTCACGCGTCGTTGATTATGGACACGTCGGTGTGCGCAAAAACTAGATGGCAAGCGGAACAGGTTCTCCGGGAGCGCCCAGGTGAAGAGAGAAAGAGAGAGAAAGAGAGAGAGAGAGAGAGAGAGAGACGGTCCTCCTCCGGACAATCGGGAAAACTGGCCTGCTCGAAGATGATTGAGCGTTCAACCGCCGGCGTGAAATCGCGGCGCATGTACTTGGCCGTGCACCGAGCATGCCTTTCTCCATCCCGTGCTCGGTCACCGGGAGAAAAGGAAGATCATATGTGAAATTTGCCTATGTATGACTATATGTAATCATATATGTCCACGGCGGCAAAATACCGTTGTTTACGAATTATATGCAATACAATCGAAGTAAGTCCGGCTACTTGTGCTTTCGACAGCACATGTGATATCGACATTTAATTAAATGATATCATTTTTTTGTTTCGTACAGATAACATATGATCATATATGTAACCACATATATGGGCAAAGTTCATGTATGATTTTATATAATCATATATAATCATTATTTCCCGGGTGGATACTAAAATATGGAAGTAAACCGCACGATTTTGTCGCGGAGTGGGTGAATCATTACTGGGAGATCGGCTGGGGAGGAATGTCGAGGAAAAATCGGAGCGTAAAGGGTTAATCGCGGCATCTTCGGCTGCAAATCGTCTGAATATTTAAACGGGCGGCTGATCGACGCTTCTCTACGATCCCGTCCGCGTGGTAGCTGTTCTCACCGATGACGAAAATACTCGATTCCCGAGGCGCATATGCACACGTACATCGCGTAAAAATACTTAAGCGTTTTAAATAGCGGCCATCGCGCCCGAAATATCCGCGTCGCGGGTTTTAATGCGATATCGAGCCGGTAGCTTGACAGCCGGCGCGAGCCCGACTTGCGTCTTCTTCATTCGCGTCTCTTCTTCGTCATTCCGCGAATCGTCGTCACGCCCGGCTGCTAATGCCGATCGAGATGCGTAAGTCGCGCATAAACCACACGGAAGAAAAAAGAAGAATTCAATTCCCGCTACTGAACAGAGACCGGATAAGAATTCGATGGCAAGAAATAATATATCTCTGTTATCACGACTGAAGAGAAACATTACGCGAACATCCCGTTGCATTCAGTATTAGAACTGCGGTAATATTTTCTCCCTTCTTCGAACTTGATGATATTGTCGAATTGTTTGTTTGCGCTAAAGAAAGCTATTCCGGTGACGAAAATTCAAAGAAATGAGAAAAATCGACGAAACCGACCCAGCCACGGTTCTAGTGTTGAAACTCGGTTGAGACAACTGACAGCGATCGGCTGAGCGGAAACCTCCTACGGAAATGTGACATTTTAGACTTTCGCGCTTTTCTTTCGTAAATATTCAACTTGATTTTCGAGTTAGAGCCGCGTCCTTCGCGGACTTGCCTCCAACGTTTTGTGTACATTTCAGTTCACTTCTTTAGGGTGAGAAACGACTCGTGAAACTGTTCGCAGATTTCCAGAATTTGGCCTTCAAGCACCAAATTGAGAGAATTCTTCTACATGGATCTTTTCGTTCCCTTTCGCTCCTACGACCGAGTTTCCGGTCCCAACGGAAAGTTTACAGTTTTGTCCGGGTTGCAGAGGAGAATTGTTTTTTTCTTTTCCTCCGTGGGCAAATAATTTCACTTACTCGGCGAGGACAGAGTGCCGAGATGCGGCGGTAGTCCGGCGTAAGAGAGCGTCGGCAGGTAATTCCGCGGTATCGGCAGCCCCGGTGGGAAGAGTTTGGGCGCGGTTGCCGCCAACGGTTGTTCCTGCTGGCCGCTGCTCCCGGCGCCGGTCGAATGCGAGTCGCTGCCGGGCGACGAGGACGCCGTGGCGCCCGAGGACGAGGATTTCGGCTTGGTGAGGTTCAGTGGAGCATCGAGATCCTGAAGAGGCGGGGCCGTCGGCGCTACGGCGGATGAGATCGGCGCCGGTGACGACTCCTTCTCCATCTGCGTGGTCATCTGCGCGAGGTGCGCGGTCGCCCAACTCGGACCCTCCCGATGACTGCTGATCATCTGCGAACGAGCAAGAAAATGTCGACGTTAACGTACCATTGTCTCGCGGGATGCTTCTGTCGTAATAGGAATCGTTGTCAAAACGTGACCGATTTTCTTTAATCGGCGAGATGCGTCGTTGAAATTTTGTAACGCCTTGAATGTCATAGTGGCCTCTGGTGGTCGGCTTTTATGATGCTACTACTGCGTTTTAATAACCCGAGTCGAAATTTTATCGCTATTTCGTCGTTCTTAACACGTTGACTGCCAACTACGAGATATCTCGTAGGTTGTTTACTTGCCCAGGACACCAACTACGAGTTATCTCGTAGCTTCATTACTTGATTAAATCAAATTGGCTTCTTAGACCAGAATCGTGAAAAGGTCCGTGGCAGTCAACGTGTTAAGGATAGTTTAAGGTTGCGTCTAATTAGATGTCCTAAAGGTTAATAAAATCTACTTTAATGATATCGATATTCTCTCTCTATTCTCTCCCTTAATTTTAATACCGCCTTGAACAATGTATTTTGACGCTAAAATGGAAGTTTAAGACATCATCAGTATCAAAGCGGAAGTAAATTATATTATTCGAATCGAAATTGAATCTAGTTTATTGCCTTAGCTCCCGCTATGTTGTGAAATTAAAGATTTAACATGAGGCAAACATTTCGATTCGTGTGTGTGTGCAGAAGTTTTAATCTTCTTTTCGCAAGTTTCCGTTTTATCCTCGTAATACGTAGATACGTCCAATATAATTTGCACACGTCTTCATCAATTACATGTAAAAGATGGATTTTACGAGTAACAATGGAAATAAGATGAATGACACTCGGAACGCATTTAATTACCGTATCTTCTAGCAAATCAATGATCGAGCAAGCCTTTTCAGGATCAATGCGGCTCAATTTCGTCAGACAGCCCCCGATTTTCCGACGAACGTCTACCGGCGGGTTGAGACCGCGTCGAAGATGACCGATAACGTCGAGCGGACACGAGTAGTAAGCGATAGTATCGCGACGCGTTGACCGAACATTACACGAGGATCCGATCGCGACGAGGGTAATCGCGACACCGGGTCGTCTCTCACGTACGTTGGCGATGGAGTTGATGTGCTTGTTGCCGGTGGTGGCGGTCGACGTGGCCGGCGGCGGGGGCATGGGCGACTGCACCGGCAGCCCTCGGAGCTGCTCGAGAAACGGCAGGAACATCAGCGACTGCGGCCCCGACATGCTCAGCTGACTCTTTGTCATCTGGGCCTGCAACTCCTGGATGTTGTGCTGCATGATGTGCTCTTGCTGCCGCTTCAAGTGCTCCGTTTGCAGCCGCTGCATCTCGATTTGCTTCTGCGAGTCGACCGTCATGTGAGCGGGATACGACTGTAAAGGCACATGGACCGCTAATTAATGGGTTGAGCTACGCTCCGCCGTAGCAACACCGAGAGGGACCACCGTCGAGGCCACCGTTGAATAAAAAATACCAGGAGGAAGCACGAAAGACAAAGATCTCTGTTAGTTCTTGTCTTCGTTGAACGGTGCGCGACCGATGTGACGTAATGAAGGCGAACCAAACGCGACTATTGATATCTACGAGTCGAAGTTTTATTCCACGCAATTATTTCGTCAATTAGCCAAACAGGCAGCTTCTTGTGAAGGAATATCGAACTGGTAGCCTTCAAGAGCAACGACTCGTGTCCCAAATATTTCTTCGGGAAATATTATAAGATTGGAAAGCATGAAAAGAATCTTGAAAGCGACGTCTTTTTGTAATACATTTTGCAAGATGCTTGAAAGTAGCTTCCGGTGACGTGTTACATGTGATGAAGTATATCCCCGAGTAGAAAAATGTCGCCGGGGAAAACTAGTCGCTAGACAGAAACTGGACAGTTCTTACCGGCTTGAATTAATTAGATAATGACTATTCAGAAACTGTCCAAAACATACTGACTATTATTTCTTGGCCAGTTACTTGCCATGAATTATTCCAAAAAAAAAAAAAGAAAAATAGGAAGTTAATGCTGGACAGTTTTTATCCAGCAGAAACTCGTAAAATTCTGGTTAATGTTTCTTGTCCATTTCCCGGCTAGAAAGTAGGCGAAATAATAAACAAATAAAACGCTCAAAATCTTACTAGCTAGTTTTACTATCCAGTTATCGTTGAAGCAAAAGTCTCCTAAACTTATAAGTTTTTGGCCGATAAAACTGACTAGAAACCAGCTGGTTAGAGAATTACTAGCCAGTTACCTGGCTGGAAATTGGTTTAATTTCTAATTGGGTCCTTCCTGGTATTCTTCATTCAATGGTCGGGGCATAGTAGCAAAACCTACAGACGTCAGCCACCCCGCTGACGGGGGTGGTGGTGGATAGTTCGGTGGCTCATCGCAGCGCGCGCGCGTATGAAACGCGGAACGATTCGGGCACAATACGAGCGTGGCAAATTGTGCGATTACCACTTTATGCCGCTATCGACGCGTCGTAAAGACCCGGTTTGCGGGCTCTCCCGTGTGGAAGCCGTGGATCGAACACGGACGAAACGCGTATCGCACGCGGTTGCCCCGGCGAGATTTTTTTTTGGACGGCGTGTGACATGACAATGAGACCGCGACATGCTCGACAGCTCGATGCATCCGCGAGGGCTATTCCAGGCGGGCGTCTCGTTATTTTACGCCTTGCTCGGGATGTAACGCACAAAGGCGACGTATCTCGCGAACGCTTTCGCGGGGAATATCATTCGTCCTTTGTTAAAGCTCCCGATGCGAATTCTCGAGGCGAATTCCGAGTAGAAATCTTGGCCTTCTGTTAAACTTCTTTAATTCCGTAATACAACGTAAAAATTACGGTCCTACGGTTATTCCGATGCGCTTGATTCAGACGAAATTATTCCGCGCAAAACGCACTGAGCGTAGATACTTGTCATGCTGAGAAAAAGGTTCATTCGGATTCAATACTTCTATCCATTCGGCTAAAATTTGCTTCGTGGAAACAACATATACTCGTACGAAATATTATTTGTCTGAGTAGAAATTTTATCGTCGCATTCGGGAAAACTCGATTATTTAACGGAAAAAACGCTATTATTGGAAATAACATCTTCCAACAGAATAAAATATTATTCGGTTGCAGTAAATATGTAAAATGAAACGAATAATTTCTTCGTAAGAAAATTATCTTTCGCGTTTCAAATAAATTTTTTATTTAAAATGAAGATACGTATTCGTTGAAAGGTCTAACAATCGTATTTGTTAATCGAAACATCAATTTCTTGTGTCAATGATGAAATTCGTTTGAATGCGATCCAAATTGATTAAAGATCGAGGAAATCTCTCGGTGCATACAAGAACAAATCTCGGGTCTTTATTTTTACCGTCACATTTTTTCATTCGCTCCAGTAATTTGGACGCGCCAACGGCCGAATTCACCGGAAGAAATCCCGCCGAATTTCAAATCGCGAGGGTCGACCAAGTTTATTCCGCGAGCAAATAGTTGAGCGCTTAATTGCGTGTCCGACTAATAGCGCCGACGCGACCGGATCGATTGCGGCCAAGTGCATCGGCCGCGGATTTTTCGATAAATTTTATATATTAATAGCGTTAAAGCGCGCGCTGGTCGGGCACGGATTTAGACGGGGGGGAGGGGGGAAGCCGAGAGAGAGCGGCCGATCCACCCTCCGCAGGAGCGCAACAATTTACGCGGCGAACATCATTGTACTTCCCTACGTCCTGGCGGCGATCCAGATACGCGCGGGGTTTATTTTAGACGATAAGGAAGACGTTTATTCATCCAGCCTGTGCACCAGCTGAGACGTCACACGCGCGCGACGCTGGACGCATCCGTGTGTCGCCCTTCTCCTCGCGGCTACCACGGCTCGGCGATTATTAATTCCCGCCGCTCGATGGTGGATCGCGGAAAGTGATTTACGATCGACACGGCCCTCGCGACTTTGCCGCCGCCGCCGGGGCGTGTGTACGTACGGCACACGCTCGGTTAAATTGTAAATGCGGCGGCAGTGAAAAGCGGCTGGGGATAAGAGACTTGTCTTGGCGGATCGCGATAGAAAAATCCGCGCGCAAAACACTATGAGAGCGCGTTACACAAGCTGAGGCTGGTAAGCGGCTTCTTCCGAGTCGATTATCCACTTACTTCTTATTGACCTCCGTGAATAATTAAAAACGTCCGCGCGCAAGAAGCGCGGGTTGCCACGGCAAACATACATGACATTTTTACGAGTTCTGACGCAAAATGGTTACAATGTGCGGCCGGCAAGAAGTCGATCGGTGATTATGCATGCTGCACGTGGACGAGGTAGTGGTACACTCATCGGCCCCACCCGGAACTATGCGTGCCAGCTGGATAATTGTTTAACGATTAACTGAGTTTCAATCAGCCGCAAAATTAATCCTACGAATTTTTCTGTCGGGCATTTTTTTGCAAGAATCCATCATATGTTAATTGGCCCGTCGAAATGGTCACGCCGGCCATTAACGACTAGCATTGTTATGCCGAAGGCGTCTCATTAAGTTTCATGTAAAGTATAATATTAATGCGCCGAAAAGATTAATTGTACAGTCAGCAGAGAATAAACAAAACTAGAAGAAGATTAATATCGACAGTTAGATTTAATGATGTACCTTTGACGATTCAATCGTCAGCGACGCTCTCGGACGGAAAAGGAATAACTAGACCCGTTTTGGTGGAAGGAAGCGGAATTCCTGGTTTTTCTGATCCAAATGTGGTTCTTGTAAGCAGAAATTCTGTTTCCTTCAACCAAAATGTATCTGGTAGTTCCATTTCCGCCTAATAAATCTTCTTTTTCGGTGTATCAACCGAAGAAAATATGTTTTTATTTTTTCCTTTAGTGTATATACACACACACACAGTAAAAAAACTCTGTGTTAAAAGTCCACTGAAATTTTGTATTACTATATATATATATACGTGTGTGTGTGTGTGTGTGTTGTTTCAACGTCACATTAAGCCGCACAAACAGGACAGTAGTCATTACGGGATTAAGGGATTAAGGATATCGTATGACCGTATTCTCCATTCTGTGCTCGCTGTCGTTACAATCTTTTACGACGCGCCGGTACGGCGGCGCGAGTAAGCTCAAAGACTGCCGAACTGTGGCGTTTATGCCGCTGCGTGCAAGCGGGTGTACCGTGCATGTGCACGTTCATTGAGACCACATGTCGCGTTCGCTTCTGAACGGGGAGCGAGGTGGAATCGCCCCGAAGACAATGAGACGACCGGCTAACGCCAATTCTGGTAACGTCTTAGATTCGCGCCGCTATAACGGACCGCAGCGGGCAAAAGCGGCCGAGAGAGAGAGAGAGAGAGGCGATGGAACTTCATTATTCATTTGCACAGTTCAGTTATGCCGATGATACGTATCCGTGACAGCTATACCGCCCACAGTGGCTAAATATAAACACACAGGCGGGGTGCCAGCAAGTTCCATTCACATTCACATCCACACGCGACGCCGCGTTTTAGTAAGTGAGCATAAGAATATGAGGAGCTCCGTTCTGAATATGCATCCGCGCATTGACGCCAACTGCACCGCCTAAACTTAGCCACGCAATTACCGAAACATACCTACCTACCTACCCCGTAATCGCTCCCTCCGGGCCGGTTATCCGCCGGATCATCGGTCGATCGATCGATCGCGCGAGCGAACGCTGCGTGGCATCCGGTCGCGCAAAAAAATCAGAAGGAAAGAAAAAAAAAGTAATAATTCGACATCGAAAGATATATTTATCGCGTGTGTATAAAATGTCTTTTCGACTTTACGTCTCACTCTGACTCGTCGCAACGGAATGTGAGATATCGTCGCCGTCACCGAGGAAGAAGAAACGATCGACGACTCACCTCAACCGGGAAGTGGCGCTTTTTGTTATTTAACGAGCGAATAACGCGAATAACGCGCGACGTTGCGTCACGATCAACGGGCGGATTTTCGTCGGCGCGACGTCCGCTCGCGCGAAAGAGACGCGGGGCTAAAGGCCACGAAATTTGCGTCTAGATTTAGAATCGGAGCCACTGGAGTGCAAGGGGACATGCCGGATGACGTAGATCCACCGGAAGTGGTTCATACTTCACGTGCGTTATAAAGACTGTCACTGCGCGGGTACTGTCTAAAATTACGTCGCGCGCTGCCAAGGAGCCGCCGGCCGAGAGGCGCGCGACGCAGGCTCCGCGCACGTATGTCGGATTAAGGGCTCGGATATCGGCGTCCCGGTCGCGATCACCCGCCTCCGCTGGATACGCACACCTATGCGCGCTATGAATAATCGATCAAGCAAGGAGCGCGGGCCGGCGACTCGCCGCCGGGAGTGGCCCTTTTCGCGCGCAGGACGCGACGTGCGAGACAACGAGGAGAGCCG